ACGTTAAATTAAAGAAATGTAGGTAAGAAAAGTAGAGACCCTTGATCACAATTACAAATCAGTTATCTCGTAAAAATAAACAGTAATATAGAACAGACCGGAAATATAAAACAATGCTGCAACCGGCAAAAATTGTACATTCGAATACGCGAACGCTTTTTGGTGTGAATAAAGCGCGGACAACCTTTTAAGATAGGCGTTGTCTGCAGAATCACAACGTCCTATTACACCGGGACTGCAACCTCTATTCTCAAGTTGCTTAACTTCATTAGGAAACTTAGCAAGCCGTTTATTTTTGTGTACTGTCCGGTTTTCAAGAAGACATATTGTGTTCCTAATTTATGCCACTATTATTGCGTCAATTCAACATTTTGGACAATCATAATAAAATAAGAAAGTTTTTTGAGGGACGCTCTCTCTGCAACAGAATAGAACATGTAAATTGATATGGGTGAATAAATTCCTGCTGAGACTTGTTTCGCATTAAGAATTTGCAGCCACTCGCCGTATGCCTGCGGCCAAGGAAGCCAAAGATCCAAAACTGCACTTACTGTAAAGAATTTCAAGATGCCAGATTTAACCTTACGTTGAATGCACATATATCCTGCTCAAACTCCAAGAAACTGAAAACGAGTTTTCTGATTTATGGACGCCCATTCGGAAGGTTATTGGTTGTCAGAATAAGGTAGGCCTTGTTGTAGTCAAATAGGCAACGCGTTAAATGCAAAAACCTCAAAATAATACCGTTTGCAACGTATGGGTAGATATCCACATAATACAAATGTTGTTACCCGTAAAAGCTACATGGCAGCAACGAAGCATCATTTAAAAGCAGATACCACTTCTATGCAAGATAACCTAAGCTTTAACATTAAAATATGATCTGTCGTATTCCATAACACTGTGGGATTTACCTTGTTTGCATCTGTAAATTTACCTAATAATAGTGCAGTTAAGAAGAAGAGTCAGTCAGTATATTTAAGGAAACAATAAGCTTGCACCCTTGAACCCCCTATTTGTCACGTCAAAATCCCAAGAATTAGAAAAAAATGTTTACAAATTTTCAGTCAAGAAAATATAGACAGTCACATCGTGCTTTGGTGTTTCAAGATTAATTTGTCACATAGTTCATGTTGTGTTGTAACATATGTATATTAAGTCGGTGTTTAAATGTTTCCACAGATTGGGACATAACAATCGCTTCAGATAGGTAATTCCACGGGTCCACGACCCGATTAGAGAAAAAATACTTCCACACTGAGAAGAAGAAGGATGATCGAACACTGGAACCATAACTTTATTAGCTTGAGCTTTCGGGCCCCTGCAGGAGTCCATCGTCAGAGAATGGGAGGACAGCAACAAATGAGGTAGCTAGTTCTGGCGTTGGCACAAAACATCTAAAATTTTGAACGAGTAGAAAATCAATAATTGTGTGGTTCGGCCGTCGACTCGCTATTGCGGTCTTTATCAGGATGTACTAGTGGGCGAGATCGACGTGGTGGGTGGGGATATTTAGAGAAACAAAATCATCAACGAAAACAAGCAATTTTCTGTAGGGGAAAGGTCAATCATAGGTCATAGGAAACGGGGGGAGGGAGGGAGGGAGTGAAGGAAGGACAGGACCACCAGTGCCCTGAGTCTGGAGATACCTGCGCAGGG